ATCAAACAGAAACGTTTCTAGTTAATGTTTCAAATGTTCCGTAAAACATCTCATTTGCAACGTTTCATTTACGTTTCGTGTTTAGTGGGATGCGACAAGGGTTTATGCATAGATAAATAAACCTAAATCATATATTATATATATATATTTACATTTAAGTAGGTACATATGTACTTCTTTTTTATGATTGCAATTTGTTATACTTGTTATTACATTATGTAACTTCATTTACATTTGTATTAAAATATTTTTTATTTTACTGGTAGTGATTTTTGTTTACTACCTAAACACATTTTTATTTCAAAGAGAATAAAAATTAGCTTCCATGTAACCTAACCTATGATTGGCTTTATCCTATTCATTAATTTATTTAATTCGAGACTTCTAGGTGAGCACTTCTAATAATACGTAGGTAGGTAATTCAAATTTCTCTGGTCATTCATTATATTAAACATTCAATTCGAATACAGTGCGAGTGCGAGTGCTCGAGTTTCTTTTGCATTAGCCAGCTGCTTCAGCAGGGTATCAAATTCGAATTCGTCCAGTGTCGTTTGCATTCGGTGGGTATGAACCACGCGCCGCGCTGGCGAGGTATTTAAAATCAGACATTGCACCGCAGCTCGCAATTCGCAGCACAAATGACTATTCGAATACTTTCAACAGAATCGAATGCATTCGAGACCTTGGCAAAATCGAATAGATTTGTAAATTGCATTCGAATAGTCCCAACACTAATGATAATCACAGATCACCAATGATAACGAATGATTATAGAATGGCGGGAACATATTGAGATTGAGTACTTGTGCCAGTGCAGTAAGAAGTATGAATAATTTTAACTGTTTAGTGCATAGATATGGTTTAGTGCCATTTTACTGATTTGGTTATGTTATGTTATAAATGAGAACTATTACTACTAACCGATGGTCATCAACGTTATGATTATTTTTAAAATTGTAATATAACTATTTATTTACTATTTACTGCTATTTTAATTTTTCAATTTGTTTACTTTATGTTACATTTATCTTGGGTATTAATGTAAAAAGCCGTATATTATTTATTTAAGACAAAATGTGTACAGTAACAATTAAAGGAGTTCCAATAAAGTTTCCCTTTGAACCATATGATCTTCAAAAGAAATACATGGAAAAAGTTGTAGAATGCCTTCAAAATGAATGTAATGGTGTTTTGGAATCTCCAACAGGTACAGGAAAAACTTTATCACTGTTATGTTCCTCCTTAGCTTGGTTGGAATTAAAAAAAGCTCAACTGCAAGCTCAACGTCAAATAGCTAACTTCAATGAAGATAATGAGTATTTAAATTCTCTCGATGTTATGTTGCAAAAGACTACTGGTAAAAGAAGTGGTAGATCATTTTTAGGTTTGCCAACTATAATATACGCTTCACGTACACATTCTCAGTTAACACAGGCAATGCAGGAATTGAAAAAGACTTCTTACAAATACATGAAAGCTTATGTTTTGGCTTCAAGGGAACAGATGTGTATTCATCCTGAATTAATGAGTGAATCAAGTAATGACTTGAAGCGACAAATGTGTGACATAAAAGTAAAATCAAGATCATGTCACTATTATAATCGAGTAGAACAAAAAAAGAATGACCCAGAGTTAAGTAAATTAAGTATTATCGATATTGAGGATATGATAAAGTTAGGAAATTGTCATAAATTTTGTCCTTATTTTATGGCAAAGGAATTGAAACAAGATGCAGACATTATATTTATGCCTTACAATTATTTGTTAGACCCTATTTCTCGAAAGGCAATAGGTATGTATAATATTACACCTAATTTATTTTTCACATTTTTTTCATTATATATAGGTGTTGACTTGTCAAACAATGTAGTTATCTTAGATGAAGCTCATAACATTGAAAGGACTTGTGAAGAATCAGCATCACTTCAATTGAAAACTTCAGATATAGCTTTAGCCATTGAAGAAGTAACGGCAGTAATGAAGATGTTATCTTCTGAAACTGTCGATTTCAATGATAGTCCTAAGGACTTTGCCGCTGAAGATTTATGTGTTTTAAAGCAAATGCTTCTAGATTTTGAAAAAGAAATGGACAGCATTAATTTGAAAGGAAATAGTTCGGAAGGAACAAATTTCGATGGAGATTTTATTTTTGAACTTCTATCAAAAGCTGGAGTAAGTGACCATATTTTCTAATAATATTACGTTTTGGCTTTATAAAATTGTAATTTTATTTCACTGCAAGCTTTTATCTTTTTTTATGATTAACATTATAAATTCTTTTAAACATTCTAATCCCGACATAAAATAATTATAGTAATTTTATCCCGAAGAGCAATTTTCTCTTTAAAAATATCACTCTCATAATTGCATACAGTTCATATAGGTACAGAGAGTTCTGTTAGAAATATTTAAAATAACAGATAAAATTAGTATAATGAACTGTCGATGTTATCGGTTAGAAAATTATTATTGAAAATGTTAAAGTTATCTACTTGAAATTATCATACATATTATATTTGGTGCAGTGTTTTTAAAAAATGTGAGAAAACTTTTTTTTTAATCTAACTTCCTGCATATTTTTAAAATACAATACAGTACAATATGCGTAGTTTTAGACAATGCAATATTGCATTGCTAATGTAATGATAAATAAAGGCAATCACTGCTACTTTGCATTAATATTATAATATAATAAAAAAAAAACTTACCAATAAATTTTAAAATGTTGGAAATGCTGAAATACCTCATTGAAAATTATGTGATTTATTATTTTTTTTTTACACACTTATTTAACTTTAGGGTAACATTTTTATAGTGTTTAATTAACATTTTCCTAACTTTATCCATTAATTAGTTTAAATAAATTCTATTTAAGTTTTGTACTTACAGTATATCTTAAATTAGGTAATTTGTAAACATATTTATCACTATAGCTTAATATTGGTGCACAGTTATTAATTATTATATCTTTATATTTATCATTACAATATCAATTACTATTGATTGTCTAGCAAATCATAAAAGTTTCTAAAATGATTGATAAAGATTCAGGAGCACAATAAAGCCATGAAGGCAAATACATATAAAAATTGTATGTAGTAAAGTAGATCCAATCGACTACTTCAAGCTGAAAGAAAAAAATTTGAATATCCAAATGCATTCTAAACCACATGGATGATATTAGTTATAGTAGAACATGTAAATCATTTTAATTTTTTTGATAAATTATTGCTTTGAAATATTGCCGCTTTCCAAAATAATATTTATTGAACAGTTAATATATAGGGTGTTTCATAACTCTACCGATATAGAGGCACGTGTAGCGAATCTTAAAATATGCCGATTTGTTACGTAACATATTTTTAACATAGGGCTGGACTAGACGTAGGGCGCTCTTAAAATGATATCGATTTATTATTAAATAGTTTTACCAGTATTACAGTAAATGAAATTACATTTTTTTTCCTTTTACAATTTTTTCGAGGGAATAACGGTTTTTGAGAAAATTGGGATTTTGTGTGACGTCATTACTAATTAGGCAGTTTCCATTTTTTTCATTTTCATTATACAAATAATCGCAATTATAATTAATGATATATTTTTTTAATTATCTTTATAAATAAGAAAGTTATAGAATTTCAATGTTTACTGTGTTTACATTTTTACATTGTGCTTAGCAGCAATCGGTAGCTCGGCTGTTTTGTTCTTGGTTTTGATTATTATATTATTAAAATTAAATTTTCAAGATATCGAGGACACAGTCACAAAAAATGGAATATTTCTTGAACCTGAAAATTGAAACGAGCACTTTTGAAAATTATTATTATCCATTCTTGCATTTTTTATCGGATTTGGATCAATTTGAGTATTCATAATATGTATCTGGAATTGAAATCAGTACAACTCCACCCCTGAGACACCCCCAAAGTAAGGGTTGAAAAATAAAATATTTATTTCAGGTTATTAAGAGATTATCCATACGTTTTTTTTTTCGTAAATCTTTCTATAAGGCTAAGAGCATATGTGTAGAAACCCTCAAGGCACTTTCATTGCGAAATATCCCTAAAATAAGGATAGAAAAACTAAAACATTTATATATCTCAGGTTGTTATGAGATTATCCACCTGATTTTTTTTCATGAATCATTCTATACGGTTAAGAGCATGTGTTGAAAAATCCTCGAGCCATTTCCAGCCCGAAACACCCTCCAAATAGGGGTAGAAAAACTAAAATATTTATATCATTTTATGAGATTATCCACCAATTTTTTTTTTGTAAATCATTTTATAGGACTAAGAGCATACGTGGGAAATTACTGCAATCATTTCCACCCCAAAACAGGGCATATATGTACAGGGTAATTTGTAGGGTCGAGTTTCGGACTAAGGATGCATGGTAGTGAGATATGGCTAATTACGTAACAACCTGAGATATAAAGTTTTAGTTTTTCAATCCCTATTTTGGGGGTGTTTCGGGATGGAAATGACTCAGAGATATTTCTACACATGCCCTTACTCATACAGAATGATTATAAAAAAACAGGTGGATAATTTCGTAACAACCTGATATAAATATTTCAGTTTTTCTGCCCCTATTTGGAGTGTGTTTCAGGGTGGAAATTGCTCGAGGATTTTCCCACACATGTTCTTAGCCATATAGAATGATTCATGAAAAAAAAAAACAAAAACAAGTGGATAATATCGTAACAACCTGAGATATAAATATTTTAGTTTTGCAACCCTTATTTAGGGGGTGTCCCGGGGGTGTAGTCGAACTGATTTCCATTCCAGATATATATTATGAATACTCAAATCTATCTAAATCCGATAAATAATTAAAAAATGAATAATAATTATTTTCGAAAGTGCTCATTTTCATGTTTAGGTTTATGGAAATATGCAATTTTTTGAGACTTTGCGTCCCTGATATCTCGAAAACTGTTTATTTCCGGACTTTGTGCCTAGGAACACTTTTAATCAGGAGGGTGTCATGTACAACATATCAAAAATTCAGACGAATCGACCGGGAACTCAAACCCGTAAGGCTTGTGTGGGGTCTTTTGACTGCCAGAAAGTTTCATCATCTCAATATCAACTTTAGGGAGATCGCTAGAATCGCCACGAACATATGCATTATCCATTTTCCACAAATGCATTAAAATAAATAGCCGTTGCAACAATAAGCATGAGCAAACAAAGCCGGTCAAGTGTACTAATGCATTAATCTATGGCTAATACAAGTGGTCGTCTGTTGCGCTCGCTCAGGCTTCCCGACATATAACATCACATGATATTCTGGTGACGCGCAAGCTTTGGGAAAATAAGAAATTAAATATTTCCCTCACTTTTGGAGATATTGACTTTATTTTTTTCGACTTTCATCAAGTTAATGAATAGACTATTAAATGACACGGAAATCTACAAATTTTCTGTCTAAGGAAACTTCCTAATTGAATTGGATAAAAAATAAAAATTATATTCTATATTTTGTTTTTAACGTATTAAAAAAGAGGAATCTTAAAAACTAAACATTAACAAATTCAACTTTAATCTCATGAACTACCGATATCGTTAAATAGCACTACAAAAACTGTGTGATTTGTAAAAAATCTGAGTATGCCAATGGTTTCCTCATAAAAAAATAGAACAAATAATGTTCCAACTTTTTTTTTTTAAATTTAATAACAACGGAGATAGAAAGGTTAATGTAAATGGGTGATTTTTCAAAAAAACCCTGTATATCTAAAACTAATCAAGTTAGTCAAGATCTTCTGGTACCAACGAAGTAAACTCAAAAGAAGAGAAGGGACATCGATATCATATTTTTTGTCTCTATCACCGTTTTGGCTGTATAAAACTATCGAAAATCAACACCCTGTACACTTCGACTTCAATTACCTTCACAGTACCCCAATACTAACAACATGTTAACTTTTTCACGAAATGAGAATTTTGCAGACATTTTCCAAAATGATGGAATGGTACGTGGTAATGTGCAGTCATTGAAAATGTCAAAAATGATACATGAAATCATAGCCTACTAGTTGTTACTGCATATTTTACTTTTTGTTCGATTCAATAATTAGTAATGACGTTTTACAAAATCCCGATTTTTTTCAAAAACCGTTATTTTTTCGAAAAATTTGTGTTAAAAAAGTTTTAAAATTAAATTTCCTGTAATACTGGCAAAACTATTTAATAATTGGCATACTGATAAAAAAAATCGATATCATTTTAAGGGCGTCCTACCCCTAGTCCAGTCCTTACTGGATTACCAATTTTATATTTTTACCAAGTAAAGATAACAATAAAGGAAAATCATGTACCAAATTTGGTTGCTCTATGTTAAGGCATTGCTGAAATATTATTGTTTTTCAAAATTTAACACTTATTTTTAGAGGCCAATATCTCTTCAATGGTACATCCCAGAAAAATATGTTACGTAACAAATCGGCATATTTTAAGATTCTCTACACGTGCCTGTTCTGTGTCATTAGAGTTATGAAACACCCTGTAGAACAAACTTAAATGATCTCTAAAGTTATTGACATATTGAATTCATGTTACAGATTCATGAAAACAATTGCAGAGCTATTATAACTTTACTCTCAAACATATCCCAATTTCTAAATGTAATAGCCAGTGGTCCATTTGCTAGAAGAGGCATTGGCTTACTGTCGTTTGAAAGATTCTTAACCATTGTTTTTATTGGAACTACTGAGGAATTCAAACAAAAAGTGAAAAGGTGCTATAAGGTAAATTTTTTTATCACCCTCCTAATTTGAATTCATTATTAGTAAAAATGTAGTTATAAATACTAGCAGTTGTGAATATTATGTACAGGGTGTTTCAGGAAAAGTGGTAAATATTTTAGTATTGGTCACTTCAATAAAAAAAAAATTCATATCAACTGTCCAATTATCAATGGTCACTGAGATACGGCGATTTTATTATATGCACAATACAAAGCAATTATCTAGTAGGCTGCCAGAAAACAATTGTAACTTAGCAGCACACATGAAACTGTAGAACCGGGCAAAGATTCTCAGTAAGTGTTCACATAATACCTGAATCAAATTTTTTAGAACACGGATTGGTTACAATTGTTGTTTCATCAGTCAGCAGCTATCTCCGCACCTAAATATATTTGGGAATTGCTGAAGGATGCTGTTTATGGGGAAAAGTAAACACCCAAGGTGAGTTAATGGCTCACATTATGGCCAGTGCTATACAAATAAAGGAAGTCCAAGAAGAATTGTAAAGCACATTTGTTCTAGAGAAGTGAAGTGTGTTGAGTTAGGTAATAAACTAATAGTATGTTATGCAGCAAGATAAAAATACCGAGAAGTTTACAAATGAAAAAAACCATTTTTTCCCAAGTTGAAAATACTTTTTTCTTTGGGAGAAGATTCAAAGAAACCTCTTTCGCACATTCCAGTATCCTAGGTACACCTAAATTTTCATTAGATTCCATTTTTACAGAGTTTTCAGCAAATTGAATCACTAGTGAACTAAATTAGCAATATGGCGACTAATATTTGACAAAGTATCCATGACTACATCAATATATCCTACTTACCTACTTTGCTTTATTTTCCAAATTTGATTTGAATAATTTCAAAGCACAAATTAATAATTAAATGGGGGATTTCGGATGGAGAAGATATAGCATGTTTTATTCGGATGAAAAGTGTCTTTTCTGTCTCGCAATTTTACATCCGCTCGGCTATGCTATGCTTTGCCTCGCAAGTACTAGATTTGCTCACCACTTTTATTCCTAATATAACAATATACTAGTCTACTCATATAATTTTATGTTTTGTTTCCACATCACATTTTATTCAAAATGGCCGCTATCACATAAGATTACATTTATCAATATCAGTTTTTTTATATTTTTGAGTTTGTACAAAACATGTTTCGTTAACTTCATGCAGATTTTAGTTTAGTGTTTAATTAATTAAAAAATTTCCAAATTAATTTTTGTGTCCTAAGATGATAACAGCATTTTCGGCTTGAGAGAAAAAATGTAACTTTCGTATTGACTACAACATGAAAAAATTCTTACTTTCGCGTATATAAATAAAAAAAAATATTTAGGCAGTAATTCATGGTGGCTATATCTCAGTAACCATTGTGAATTGGACATGTCAATATGTATTTTATCTGCCCCCACTGTAGTAAATAGACTATTAATATGTACATTGTTTTTAAGGAGGTAAATGGATTTTACCGTAGAATTGGAAATGGCTATGGACAACGGGAGGTAAGTGAGTCAACTTACCTCCCTAGGGAAAAAAGCCATTTCGAGTTACAAATGCATCTTTTATGAACAAATAAATAGAAATATTTGATGAACATTACATTTTATTAATTATTATGAATGAATATTTATAGTAATTGTACAGTTATTACTTTTAGTAACATTTATAAAATCTGGATAATTATTCCCCTCGCCTTTACTAATTCTCACATTTTTCTCAAAATGATTTGACCGCTCCATTTCAGTCACTGGAGGTTCAATATTATCTGATTGATCCATTGAAACAGCATGATGCGACCTACTACTAGAACTTGGAGTTCAAGTGTTATTGTAAATAATCCTGTTGGCTATTTAATTTTTGTTACTTAAACTCTCAGCAACATAACTTTCTACAATTGTGGCTCATTTCCATCCACCATGTCTCTTGATTGGTAATACATCAACTCCTGTATTAGCCAGTAACGTTGCCGATGTTCTTCGGAATGAATGGCTTGTATATGTTTCAGGATGTTCTGGTTTCAAAAACTGTGAAATCTTATTAGGAATCATAGAAAGGGTATTCTTTCTGACTGATTCGTTGTAACATCTACCTGCTTGGTAGCGCATAAAAAAGAGTGAAATTTCAGTTTTAATTTCCAATCTAATCTTGATATACTTCTTGAGAATTTCTAGGTGAGAAACAGAATCCAGACGAGAAGTAATTGTAAACGTACGTGACAGCATTTTTAGAATCTGGAATTGTAACTACAACAATGTCATTGAAATTTTTGAAATTGACGTCCAAAATAAATTTGGATAACTCATCAGAACGGCATGCTCCTGCAGTGCTAAGACCATCACTAGCTTCATTAGCAAATATGTGTTATCAGGTGTTTGAACGAGAAAATCGTTGACTTGTTCTCTTGTAAAAACATTTGACTTTTTAGGTGTATAGCCGTCATTCTTACATTTCAAAAATGCTCCCAGCTTGGGGTATTTTGATATATCCACGTTGTCCTCTATGAAAGTAGTTGACTTAATCATTGAGTATTCGCTCACCGGTGACTTTAAAGTTCTTGACTTCTCCATGAAATATGCCAGCAGTGACATTTCAGAAAAACCACTATTTTTGTTCTGGCACCATTATTTGAAATTTCTATATGCTTGTCTGTAGTGCACTTTCGACTTCTTGGACAATAAAAATTCGCAGGCATCATTTGCTGCACTTTCTATTTGAAAATCACTCATTTAGAAATAATAATTCAAAACCAGCAAAATTGCAACTTTTATGTAGCTTTGTTTATAAACACCTTAGAAACGACAAAATCCAAACAACCAAGACGTCTGCAAGATTTCGAATAATGTCAAATTGAATTGATTAAGAAATGTCAAAAAGTAAACCCCAATCTTTATATCATGGACCATAAAGAACATCGAGAGCAGATAAAATGTTATACACCATGCAGCAGTTAATTATAATTTACCTCCTTTATGGTGTAAATAATTCTTTTTTCTTTATAATGAGCCATGCTATGATATAATTAAAACATTTGCTATTCGTCCTGAAACTCTGTATCTAGGAAATTTATTTTACACAAATTGATAAATAAAAATGTTACTATTTTTTTAATTTGACATACAGATTAGCTAGAAACCTATGTGCCATACTTTGGATGAAAATAGATTAATTTAGATCAAGTTATTTTAATACAATGTTGTGGCTTAAAAAAGTTACAAGCCTTTAAAAAAAATTTTTCGTTTCAATGGCATTGTGTGTAGGAAGATTTTTGGAGTAGCCGAAGGTGAAGATATTTTTATTTTTTTACTGAAACTGGAACAGGTCGCTAAGGATAATGTAAAACATTTTTTTTCTCGTATTTTTTTGTTTGTGGAGATTTTGAAAAATCAGTTGCTTTATGAAATATCATTTTATTTAATGTAAAATAGGTATACTACATATTGCTGTAGTCGGGGAGGCTGCCTTCCTGAAAATGAGTAATCAAATCCCTAAACGCGTACTTAAGTATGGGGTAGTATATTTAATGCAAGGATCCGCCTATCGCAAACAGGGGTGCACAAAGCCTCTGATTGGCAAACTACCACACCTACGCCGTAAAATGTTGTTTATTTGTGAAATGCAACAAGCAGTTTTACATAGGATCTTATGGAAAACAAAACATTTTGCCAAAATTTAGTCTTTACTCACCGTTAATACTGTTTACTTCCTGTTACAATCTCATATTTAAAAAGTTTTAGTATTTTTGTGAAAAATCTGGAACTAGCTTTCAAAATCTAACCTTGTCTAGAAAAGTTATACCAAGTGTGGATTTTTTTACCGGTATGTAAACCATTTGCTCAATTTATTCAAAATTATTTTGTTTATGTGATTATTGCAAAACATTGCACATTCAACAATTTTATGTCGAATTCGATTTTTATTTAAATGATTTCATAAATTACCTCTTTACTTTATCTTCAATTACCTTAACATTTGCTACGTGAAAGAAGTTATACCTATCATCGATCTGTGCTCAATTTGCAACTCTAAATAATATCTTTTTCCAAATTTACTGGGATATTATCTCAAACTAAGGAAAAAATGTGAAAATGGGAACAAATAACACTGACTCACAAAACTTCTTCACTATTGAGAAACAATGGTTCTGCAAAATATACAATAAAAATTTAATCTGTATACATACAGTGTGTCCCACTTAAGCATTAGCCACCCATGTAAAATTGTTATTTGTTGACCGATTTGTTTCAACTTTTTTTTATTTGATAGATCTCAGAAAAAGGAGTAGAATGTATAATTTCGGTATTTTTGTGATCTAAGCCATAGCCAACTGAGATGCGTTTTATAGGAATAAAAAACGAGAAGTAATATTAGCGATTTTTTTTCGACAAAAACTGCAACGGATTCTTATTCAGGACTATCTAAAACCCTACTATACCAATTTTTGTTGTGATAGAATGCAGGGTGTTGCAGAAAATTAAACCTTAATTTTTTTAACCAACTGAAGATTTATTTATAAACCACATGCATTATTTGAATATTGTGTAAAGGAAACATCATTATTATTATTATTACAAAGAAAAAAAAATGAAACATTTATTTAATAGGAAAATTCATAGAGTGTTTTCAATTATTAACTATTTAGTAGAAATATTATTATAACCTTCAGTTTAAAAAATTATTATATAATTTTCTACAGCACTTTGTGCAAGCAAAATCTAATTTTAACATTAGACTTATTTATACGTATTTGGTTATTTAACTAGAAGTACACGATTGATGAAGAAGGCTGTGGAAACAAACAATGTAACTTCTCAACAAATAACAGCTGTCACTGCTAACAATAACTTCTGTAAAACGTCACAAAACAATGGTTAATTGTTCTTTACAAGAAAAAACAGAAATTGTGCGATTAGTAGGTGATGCAATACGGTCATTTCGTAGCTGCCGTAGAATTTAATAGAATTCATTCTGGACGAAATATTCATCATACTACAGTTACGACTATTAATAGAGTTTTTGATGAAACTGGAAGTGTAAGTAAAATTCCCAACTAACATCGTAATCTTGTGCTTCCAACAAACCAAATAATTCTTAACTATCTTAATGAAAATCCGCGGTCGATCATTAGAGACGCCAGCATTAATTTAAATATATCTAGAAATCAAATTTGGAGATGTTTAAAAAAATTGGAGGAAGGCATACAAACCCAAATTTTTTCACAGCCTAGAAATAGGAGACAGAGAAGGAAGAATGGAATTTTGTTTCTGTTGAAAAATATTTTGTACACTGATGAAGCTACAAACGGTATTGTTTCTTTGCAAAATAGTAGTATGTGGTGTGAAGAAAATCCGCATTGGGTTATACAATGCAAAAGTTGAATATTTGGTATGGCATTTTAAATGTAAAATCAATGGACCTTAACTATTTTGAAGAAAATTTAAATATGGATGGTTTTTGGAGATTCCTACAAAATGAATTTATGGACAAAACCGATGACTTGCCTCTAAATGATCGCCTTAATTTACATGTACAGCTAGATGGAGCACCTGTCTATAATTCGATCATAGTGAGAAACTGGCTAAATGAACATTTTTCCAATCAATGGACTAGACGTAGCAACCCTTTAATTCATTGGCCACTGCGGTTTCCAGATCTCACACCTCTCGATTTTTTTTGTGAGGAGCTGTTAAAAATAAAGTTTATTTTAAGAGGCCCCAAACGCGAGAAGAACTTTGTGAACGTATTACAGACGCATGCCGTAACATTACTAGGCAACAGTTATGAAAAGTAACAATTAATAGTCGTCGACGTATTGAAAAGTGTTAAATCATAATAATAAGTTTCCTTTATTACTAATTTGAATAACATTGATATATATATATTCAAATAATGCATGTGGTTCGTAAATAAATCTTCAGTTGATTTAAAAAATTAAGGTTTAATTTTCTGCAACACCCTGTATTGTATCACAACAAAAATTGGTATAGTAGGGTTTTAGATAGTCCTGAATAAGAATCTGTTGCAGTTTTTGTCGAAAAAAAATCGCTAATATTACTTCTCGTTTTTTCCTCCTATAAAACGCGTCTCAGTTGGCCATGGCTTAGACCACGAAAATACCGAAATTATACATTCTACTCCTTTTTCTCTGATCTATCAAACAAAAAAAAGTTGAAACAAATCGGTCAATAGATAACAATTTTACATGGGTGGCTAATGCTTAAGTGGGACACACTGCATAAATATGCCTTGTGAGTTGACATAATAACATATAACAGAAATTTAAATCTACTTTCTATCTATTATTATCTATCTCTTATTAAGAAAAAAAAAACAATAACTTGTAACATGTATTTGTAATATTTTGGTAAATGTATTATTATTATTATTTCTTTAATTCACAGTGGTGGCGTGGCTCTTTTGCAATCAAAGAGAAACTGGAATATTAAAAAATTTTTTGCTTTTATTTAATGATAGTAAGAAATGTATTTATTTTTAAATTACAAAAATATAAATACAGTGAAAATTGGTTATAATGACATTGCTTTATGTGACATATTGGATATAATAACAATGGAATTTGGAAGTCCCGATTAAATCATATAGAAATACCATATTAAAAATATTAGGACACCGTTTACAACGACATTTCGAATTTAGCGACACGTTTTTATATACATTTACCATAGAATCTATCGGTTATAACGACCAATAGTGATATACGGTCTTAAAACCAATGCACCGCTGTTTCGCCCGCCCCGCCGGCATTCACGCTTTTGACACCAGTTAGTACGTTTGGGACAAATTACGACTTATCTACGCATATAGTTATATGTATTAATTACCACTTTCTATCACGATCTCAAAGAGAAAAGTGTTTAATAAAGAAGAAAAATCACATTTAATATAGAGACTAAAAAACGGAGAAACTAATGCAACCAAACAAAAGAATATGGCATATCACACTACGATTTAAACAATTTGGAAGAATAGAAATAAAATAGTCTCTATTTGAAAACGATTAATTGAAAATGAAGCGCGTGAGATCTTTTGAACACAAAGTAATACATGTATATACTTAAAGACTTTTATTTTAAATTTCTCATTTTTTCTATAAAAATTTTAAATAAAATATATTATAGTTGCTTATTACGTCTATCGGTTATAACAACCGTAAACAAATGGTCCGTTGAAGGTCGTTGTAACAGATTTTCACTGTATCTCAAAAAGTAAAGTACTTAAACCAGTTACAAATGAGCCCTAACACATCTTTGAAGGAATACGCATCTTACTAGTTGCCGTGTATAATGTAGTTTTTTTTTATTTAGGTCCATGTAATCGAAGAGCAACCAAAAAAGAAAAAGCCAGACAATTGGTTGGCAAAAGCTACTGTTAAAGCTGGTGGCAGAATTTTAAGCTACTGGTGTTTTAGTCCAGGATTTGGGTAATTTTTTTTTGATATATGCTTACATGGTAGTAATGAAAATGTTTAACTGATGAAATTTGGGGGTTACATAATTTATTGGTAATCTGAATATACCGGGTGTTTAATTAAGGCCGGCCACCGGCTGTTATGGGAACCTATTGGCCCTACAGGTTCGGGGAAAAAATTGTTATAATAAAAGTGGCCATGAAAATTTCACTTAAATTATTTTCATTTTCCACAAATCTCCGCAACTGATTAAGAAATTTTTAAAATTTACTTTAAATGAAGAAATGCCGTACTAACATGGATATATTTTTTATCAGTTTTAATCGATAGTTTATTTCCTAAAATTTTTCCTAGTGACATTTTTTATTTCCTCGATTAATAAAGGTGTGGGATAAGTTTTTGTCATTAATTTGAAAAAATGCTGTATTTTCGGATCACTTTAATGGATTCTTTTCCAATTAGATTTGTTTAAAATTACAATACCTTACAGATTTAGTAAATGTTTTGGTAATGGCAAAAAGTTTGTTAATAAAGGTATAAAATGGTGATATGTTGAAACTTAACCTATTTCTTAATTTTTGTTGGAAATTTTAAATGGAACGATATCCTTTTTTCTAAGTCATTATAACTAACATTTAGTTAAAATAAAACTGGTCAAAACCGCATCTTGATATCTCAAACCGTTTAGGAAATATTTAGATTTTTGTATTGTACCTAAAGAAGGAGAATAAATTTTCATCTACTCCCGTATCATTTCGAAACAGAACATATATTTATTTGCTGTTTCGGTAATTACATGACTTGTCAGTGCTGCGATAAACAACTACTCCGAGAGTTATGTGCACCTACCGGCGTTGAATTATACTCGCAACACCTAGTGCAGCATTGACAAGTCAAACATTGTGTTACACCGTCTGTGGGTGGCACTCGTACAACAAAGTACCTGCAGTTAGCAGGTCGCTTCCTACTGTAGCCATTTGAATGGCACAGTTGGGAGTCCGCACGACAGATGGAACCATTGGCTCCCGCGTACAATCGGTAATTACATATTATTTTACAAAAACCGGCCTCCCTTTCACACTTCAATCGAGGCTAACATGATTAGTATTCGAAGTATTTGAAAAAGAAAGAGATTTTTGAAATCCGTTTTTGTTTAATTTCAGGTGATATTGAAAAAAGAAGAACACTTTCTCATGGCAACTTTTTGCCCTCTATCGAATGGCATAATCAATTTTTGTATTTAACATTTCGTCTCTCCAGGACCATCATCAACTTCATTTTTTAAAATACGATCCTGGAAATTTTATAACATTTTTTGCAAGCCATTATGACCCCCAATACTGTATTGCCTCAGCCCTAACCAGATTCAGACGTTTTGTCTCGAAAAATTCATCTTCAATGTATTCTTTCCAAATTTATCTAAATTTCTTTTAGATTTACAGGGTGTTAAAAAAAGAGTGTAAAATATTTAAGGAGGTAATAGTATGAACTAAAATAAGCAGAAAAGTCTCAATAAACATGGGTCCGCAAAGTAACGGTTGCGGAGATATGGAATGTTTTATGTTTTCTAGCCCCTTTTTTATTTTGCAAAAACGTTGTGTATTTTCTTATAATAGTTGGTTGATGTTTAGTGAAATAAACAGTACGTATTTGACAGTTGTTCTCAGTGCACAAGTTTTCTTTCGCTATGGCTGGTTACTCTAACGCAGAATTAACAGACATGCATTTCATGTATGGTCGTGCTAATGGGAACGCCACCGAAGCGCGACGTCTTTATGTTGACGCTTATCCAAATCGCCAGATTCCTTCACAACGCATGTTTGGAAGAATTCACCAAAGATTGCGTGATACCGGTTCCTTGAGCAAACAGTGCCATTTATCCGGAAGACCAAGGTCGGTATCCACTCCTAGAGCAGAAGAAGAAATTCTAGCACTGGTAGAGCAGAATCCAGGTACGAGTGTGCGGAGAATATCAGCCGAGGTAGGAATTAGTGGTCCTCTTGTTTGGAGAATCCTTCACGAGCAACTGCTTTATCCATACCATGTGCAACGAGTACAGGCCTTAAATCCAATAAATGATCATCAAGCACGTTTGGTTTTTTGCCGCTGGTTTCTACGTCATGATGCTGAAGACCCTCGTTTTCTTGCAAACATTCTTTTTACTGATGAGGCCGGGTTCACAAGAAATGGAGTGTTTAATTTTCACAATACGCATATTTGGGCCGACGAAAATCCTCATGCTCTAATAGAATCTGGACATCAGGCACGTTTTTCATTAAACATTTGGATGGGTATTGTAGGTGACAGGTTTCTAGGTCCTGTTGTTTTACCAAACCGATTAACAGGCGCTGCTTACCTCAACTTTCTGCAGAACACACTGTATGAGTTTTTGGAAGACATTCCTTTGAATCAGAGGCAACAAATGTGGTTCCAGCATGATGGTGCTCCAGCTCATTTTTCCATGGCCGTTAGAGAGCATTTACACCAAACTTTTCCACATAGATGGGTAGGAAGGGCCGGACCTGTTTTATGGCCTCCAAGATCGCCTGATCTGAACCCTCTAGATTTCTTTGTTTGGGGATATTTGAAGACATTAGTGTATGGTACTCCTGTAAATAGCCTGGAAGAGCTGCAGCTACGGATTAATCAAAAGTGTCAAGAAATCCAAACCAAGGAGGGTGTTTTCGAAAGAGTTCGAATATCGTTGAGACGAAGATGTCGTGCCTGCTTGGAAATGGACGGAGGGCACTTTGAACATCTTCTGTAACTTTGTTTTTTGTTTGTTAAAAGCTTCCTTTGTCGGTTTATTCCTAATAAAATAAAATGTTTGAAAAACGAATAGTGGTCAATATCTCCGCAACCGTTACTTTGCGGACCCATGTTTATTAAGACTTTTCTGCTTATTTTGGTTCATACTATTACCTCCTGAAATATTTTACACTCTTTTTTTAACACCCTGTATATGTTTTTTGAATTTTCGTACACTCTAAGTGTTGTTAGACCCTGTGAAATCCACCTAGTTATTTTAAACTATTACCGGAACAGCAAGATATCTAGATTAATAGTGAGTTTTAGGTAAAGTTCAGATATACATATTTCAGAAAATAAATTTCTTTTGTCATTTTTTGATATGTAAATAAATGTTTACATTTTTGTTTAGATTCATTCGATTTTTTTTACGATTTCTCCTATTGATAGTATACGCATACATATCTGCAATACGTTTGCAATAAAAAATATCATGTTTTCACTGTAAATAATCAAAATTAGTTTTAAGACCAATTTTATTTCTCAAATTTTCAATTACTGAAAAATGACTTGTCAAGAAACTACTATTTTCGTAAACCAGGAACAGGCGTCTTTTTTGGGATACTTGGTAAATACGATTTCCTTCGCATCTAACTTATCGGAGTGCTTAAATTTACTTTCAAATAAATGAATTTTTTTGTATTTTGTTTTAAGGATACCATTTCCTTTATTAGAAATAATGATTATAATGTTCACTTTTAACGTTTGTGTTATTTCTTTCTTCGTGTTTTTTGTGACTGCAAAAATGCAAAATAAACGTAGAAAAAAAGAAATAACTGTAAGAAACAAGTCATTTTAATTAAGCACTCCCAAGGGAACAGGAAACTTATATGTCCACGTTGTTGTTCCTAGTTACGTTAAAACCAGTTTATTCACTAACCATTTACATTTTCAGTTATTTGAAATTTGCAAAATAAATAAACCTTTTCTTCCAGTATTTACATAAAACGTGGTATTTTTTATTGCAAACACATTTCAGTAAGAGAAATGGAGAAAAATTGAATTACATCGATTACAGCGCTATTTATCATAAATCTATAAAATTGTTTCAGACAAATCCTATGTATTTTTAGCCATAGATTTCGAATCTTATTTCTCGGCATATTTTAAAGTTTGAGGTTAAAAAAAAACACCCGTTATATTAAAAATAATAATATTTTAACAAATTTTGAAATTTCCATAAAATCATGAATATAAAAAGTTTAGTTTTTAAAACTTGAAATTTCTCCAACCATTCAATCATTCCTATTTTTATTTTTAGTATGAATATGTTTATGGATAAAGGCCTGAAATGTGTTATACTGACAAGTGGCACTCTAGCTCCTTTGCGGCCACTGATTTCTGAATTGGCAATAAACATTCCAGTTTGCCTTGAAAATCCACACATTGTGAAAAATAACCAAGTTTGTGTGAAAATAGTTTCTACAGGACCAGATCAAGAGATACTTAACTGCAACTACCAAAATAGGTAATTTAATAAGTAGGTTTAGGTTTTAGGTGGATAAGTTGTTGAAATTAATTTTATATTTAGATTTAGGCGATAGGTTATTAATCCTATAATTGTTTTATTATCATACAGTGAGTGAATGAATGTAAAATTATTCACTACTTTCACGACTACTGCACTAAAGAGATAATATTGGGGTATCACTAAAATGTCAGGACAAATAAGTATTTTTATAAATGGAACAGCATATTTTTAAATGCNTTTCAGAAAATAAATTTCTTTTGTCATTTTTTGATATGTAAATAAATGTTTACATTTTTGTTCAGATTCATTCGATTTTTTTTACGATTTCTCCTATTGATAGTATACGCATACATATCTGCAATACGTTTGCACTAAAAAATATCATATTTTCACTGTAAATAATCAAAATTAGTTTTAAGACCAATTTTATTTCTCAAATTTTCAATTACTGAAAAATGACTTGTCAAGAAACTGCTATTATCGTAAACCAGGAACAGGCGTCTTTTTTGGGATACTTGGACAATGCGATTTCCTTCGCATCTAACTTATCGGAGTGCTTAAATTTACTTTCAAATAAATGAATTTTTTTTTTATTTTGTTTTAAGGATACCATTTCCTTTATTAGAAATAATTATTATAATGTTCACTTTTAACGTTTGTGTTATTGCTTTCTTAGTGTTTTTTTGTGACTGCAAAAGTGCAAAATAAACGTAGAAAAAAAGAAATAACTGTAAGAAACAAGTCATTTTGATCAAGCACTCCCAAGGGAACAGGAAACTTATATGTCCACGTTGTTGTTCCTAGTTACGTTAAAACCAGTTTATTCACTAACCATTTACATTTTCAGTTATTTGAAATTTGCAAAATAAATAAACCTTTTCTTCCAGTATTTACATAAAACGTGGTATTTTTTATTGCAAACACATTTCAGTAAGAGAAATGGAGAAAAATTGAATTACATCGATTACAGCGCTATTTATCATAAATCTATAAAATTGTTTCAGACAAATCCTATGTATTTTTAGCCATAGATTTCGAATCTTATTTCTCGGCATATTTTAAAGTTTGAGGTTAAAAAAAAACACCCGTTATATTAAAAATAATAATATTTTAACAAATTTTGAAATTTCCATAAAATCATGAATATAAAAAGTTTAGTTTTTAAAACTTGAAATTTCTCCAACCATTCAATCATTCCTATTTTTATTTTTAGTATGAATATGTTTATGGATAAAGGCCTGAAATGTGTTATACTGACAAGTGGCACTCTAGCTCCTTTGCGGCCACTGATTTCTGAATTGGCAATAAACATTCCAGTTTGCCTTGAAAATCCACACATTGTGAAAAATAACCAAGTTTGTGTGAAAATAGTTTCTACAGGACCAGATCAAGAGATACTTAACTGCAACTACCAAAATAGGTAATTTAATAAGTAGGTTTAGGTTTTAGGTGGATAAGTTGTTGAAATTAATTTTATATTTAGACTTAGGCGATAGGTTATTAATTCTATAATTGTTTTATTGTCATACAGTCATACATTAATATAAAATTATTCAATACTTTAACGGCTACTGCATTAAAAAGATAACATATACTATTTTGCAATCCACATTTAAATATTTTCCACTATGCAATATATTGTGCACTAAAATGTTAGGACAAATATGTATTTTTGTAAATGGAACAGCATATTTTTAAATATGCAATCTACATAAAATTTCACTTGGTGTATGAGTTATGAAGATTTTCTAAAAATTCATTTTTGGAGAAAGCAATTGAATATGCAACTTGTATAATGTTTTTTTTTTAAATAATACCCTGCATTTATGAAATCTGTAATATTCTTATATCAAAAATATAAAAATTTCATGTTTTTTTTTTAATATATTTTTTTCCTAGATAAAGCTTTTCAGTTATTGACAAGTAATTCTAATCTATTATTGAACTCTTATCATGTCTTTATTATTAAAGTAAATTAAATTGTAATAAACGGAAACACTTCACTTCAAAAAATTATTTTTGGTAACTCATTATATTCTAACTCCCTTATCTTTTTCACTTTTTTATCTAGGAAAGAATAATATCGGGAAATTTTGTTGTGATATCAAAAAATTATATAAAAAAATAATTGACTTGCATTTCTCGAAGACTGATTTTTGTTTTTTTTTTTGGAATTCTCTCCTTTTTCTGATTACAGTGATATACAGGGTGGTCCGTAAGTAATGGTCCATAAAGACATACTAGATTTTTTACTTCAAAATATTACGATTGGAGCCAATATGCCTTAATAAAATGTTGNTAATCCTATAATTGTTTTATTATCATACAGTGAGTGAATGAATGTAAAATTATTCACTACTTTCACGACTACTGCACTAAAGAGATAATATTGGGGTATCACTAAAATGTCAGGACAAATAAGTATTTTTATAAATGGAACAGCATATTTTTAAATGCGCAGAATCTACAGGGTTAACTATCACTTAGTACATACATTTTAACCACGCGCTCAGGAAGGCCTAAAAGGTAATAAAAAAATTATTTCGGAATTTTAGCTCGATGTTTAAAAAATGGGGCAAAACCCCCTTTATTCCTGGTAAATCGGCGGTTATGAACTGTCAACCGACATCATTTCATTCAGCTGTTCAGCAATATTTAGCGGCATTGACATTTTGCCGTTGTAGAAACGATAGAAATAAACATTTTTCATTAATACCTATTTGATAGATGTTAATCCAGATAGTTGCATGTTAGCTACGCTGCGGTTGCGTCATCCCAAACATCGAGGCCCGACCGCCTTAGATTTGGAATGTGCTGACATTATAAACAGTTTAGCTAGAACTTATATATACAGGTCCCCAAGTAAAAAGGGACCATTCATTTTTTACTCTCGAGCTATATACGTTAATGTACGACTGTTCTCAAACAATATAACAATTTACTTTTGTCTGTTGTATTTTTTTATTGTTTAAAATTATATTTTCTACATGCAGAATTTTACATTTGCTCTTAGTTCCGTTATTGCATACTCTCAAAACAACATTTTTGCAGATCCGTTAGGACTACACAGTAACAATAAAACACCACCACGCACAATTAATTAAAATGTCCATTGAAGTCAATCGGAATTTAACGAAAGGAATAATAATTGAAAAATCGGAATGCACCAGTCACCCGCGTCTTTAATTTGATGTCCGATATCCGTAGCGGCGTTGAATTTGCATTCGACTCACCAAAAACATCGTAAACAACTGGCCCTTTAGATTTGTTCACATCGCATGTTCTTCACGTACATTTTAATTAATCTTGAATTTATTGCATACATTACAGTGCCTTGATAACTGTAGTGTACGTAAACATAACCTGAAAATCGCGAGACACAAGTTGATCTAGTGGCCTGGATACGTACTGCCGAATTATTACAGAAAACTGTAAATACCTCGAGGACTTACAGCTTAAAATAATAGGTACTAATTATTTTATGCTAACATATCGACGATGTTTGTTTTTATTTTTATTACTATCACTATTTAATTCCAGAACAACAAAAGAAGTTTAAAAACAAGATGTCTGAAGTGCACCTTACGATACTTGCCTAGAGATGGGGCTGTTTCAAATTTTCAATAGGTGACTTTACGACTCACAGAACTGTTGAGTTTAAATAATTTGTCGCTTTGTTGGTGTTTGTGTTTTTGTTCACGTACTTACGTTTAGTAAGTAATTATTTGTGTTTACTATTATTTATTAGTGTAAAACTCTACAAGGATATTGAAAACGAATTTTGTAAATAAAAGTTTTTCTTCAAATGCGCGGATAATCGATACACGTGGCAACGCGGCGCTGTTTCACTACCGTTGCCGTATGCGAAATTCACATCTCGCGTCTGACGGACGGTCATAGCCGTCGTGAAATAGGGGTTTCACCGAGGTTTGGAAAACAAATATTTTCAGCTTTAAAAACTATTTTGGAAATTTTTTGAACGTCGATTCTGTTAAATCTTATTTTTCTCTATCCTCACTTAAAATTTATGTACTACGTGATAGTTAACCCTGTATGTAAAATTTCACTTAGTGTTTGAGTTATGAACATTTTCTAAAAATTCATTTTTGGAGAAAGCAATTGAATATGCAACTTGTATAATGTTTTTTTTTTAAATAATACCCTGTATTTCTGAAATCTGTAATATTCTTATATTAAAAATATAAAAATTTCATGTTTTTTTTTCAATTTTTTTTTTCTAGATAAAACTTTCCAGTTATTGAAAAGTAATTCTAATCTATTATTGTACCCTTATTATGTCTTTATTACTATAGTAAATTAAATTATAATACACTGAAACAGTTTACTTCAAAAAATCTTTTTATGTACAGGCTACTCAGTATAATCTAACTCCCTTATCTTTTTCACTTTTTTATCTAGGAAAGAATAATATAGGGAAATTTTGTTGATATCAAAAAATTATATAAAAAATAATATTTTTATATAATTGACGCATTTCTCGAAGACTGATTTTTGTTTTTGTTTTTGGAATTCTTCTCCTTTTTCTGATTACAGTGATATATACATGTCTTATATTTTCTTTGACAGTTTGCACAATGTTTTAATTTATTTACTGACCCTCCACAATGGTTAGTCAAGATTGCTATGAAACCAGTGCATATTTATGGTTTTTCTCTATTATATTTACTAGACAGGCTAAGGAAGCACCTTCACAACATGAAGTGTGAAACACCTCTTTGTAGGGGTTGTGGACAGGAAGATGAGACAGTACTACATGTGTTATATGAATGCACTGCTGTCTATGGCCTATATTAGAGAGATACCCCTGAACAACGTCACCACCATTTTCTCTGTATTAGGTTGGTTAGCGGTTCAGGTGGATTGATCTAATGGGAGGAAGTACAAGGAACCCAATGGGGCCTAAGTGCTGTAGCTTTTTGAATTATAGGGAGTAGAAGGAACGAGAGAAAGGGGGCGTGTCTCTACTAAAACTCATT